AGACAGTGACTCCTCAGAGACCCCCGCCACCCTGCGGTGCAGACAGTGACTCCTCAGAGACCCCCGCCACCCTGCAGTGCAGACAGTGACTCCTCCTGTGGCCTCAAAGCAGAGTGGCGCCAAGAAGTCCCTCTGTGAGCACATGTGGGGCTGTTGCTCTGAGTCAGGGTGAGTGATTGAAAAAACAGCACAGGCAAGAGCAAAGGTTCAAAACACTTCTTGGGAAGTCCTCGTGATAGCACAGCACGGGAGGCTGCAGAGACACTGCAAGAGCTGAGGGTCTGGTTTCTCAGCCTGAAACCACCCAGCCCCACAACAGAAAAAGAAAGTTTTAGTAGTAAAAAATATGAATAGGGATTAAATAAGCCTAAGATGAAAGAAAATTTGACTGCTAAGAAAATAAGGTAAAGACGTAATGCCCTGAAAGGTGCAGTGAAAACAAGCCTGCAGCAAGGGGTGAGATGACCAGTTAAGAGGCCCAGATATGGGTAATGGCACCTCCAAGCCCCGCAGAATAGCGAAGGACAAGTAAAGCCACAGCACAGCTGAGGCTACGTTTCTGTCTCTCTCTTTTTCAATTTAAGCTTATTTTTGACTAACATGTAAAAACATTAAAGTTGTACATATTCACAGGGTACCCTGTGATGGTTCAACACATGTATACACTGGCTAGTGCTTCAAGTACAGGCTCAGCTCAGCCAAGTCCTCCCATTTTTTTGAATAACAGTAAGTTTTAAAAACAAAAAAAAAGAGGAAGTTATGGTGACATAAGAAAAGAGTAAACATAAAGAAAAGACTGTAACTGAAAGGTTTTAAAATATGTAATACAGCGAGATAGCTCAGCAGACTAAGCTCCTACTTTGGCAAGCACACACACCAGGGTTCAGTCCCCGGTCCCTCATGCCATGCTGGCCCTGCCCGTGGGGCACACTGAGCCAACAATCCTGTCTGGGCATGGTGGCGCATGCCTGTAATCCAAGTGCTGAGGAGGCCGAAAACAGGAGGATCGCTGCAAGTCTGAGCTACATAGTGAGACCCTGTATCAAATACATAAATAATTTTTAAAAAGAAAAAAATATGTCATGGGCCAGGGTGATAGCCTGCTTGGCAAACGCAAGATCCTGAGTTTGATACTTGGTACCCAAAAAAGAAAAAAGAAAAAATGTCTTTAGTGGAAGGAAATTTTGCATTGGAGATACAGTGCAGAGGCTCACAACAACAGAAAGTGTTTCTGAGGAGCACCTGGTGTGCAGGCACATCCCAGATGATTGCGGGACCCCAAGGGGGCACTGAAGGGGTCAGCTCACATCCAAGTGAAAGGAGTTTACTTCCTGCAAGTGCTCAGGCTGCCTGACCTGCCCCTCCCATAACTCTTCAGCCACTCTTTCAGCCAGTAGGGGTGGAGGGTTGGCAGACACACCCCTCACTCCCAGGCCTGCCTAGGTCCCACCTAGCCGGAGGCTGCCCACAGAACTGGAGTGCCAGGGGTGGGAGGAGGTGCAGCAGGCTCAGGGTGCTAGAGAGAAATGGGGGAGCTCAAGGGTACCACAATGGGGAGTTCCCCCTAAGAATTTTAAAGTGAAAACTCAAAAAATGTTAAACTCAAATAGTTTTATAGGGGCTGGTGAGATGGCTCAGTGGTCTAAAGCACCTACTTAGAACAAGCTTAGCAAAGCACAGGGACCGAGGTTCAATCCCCCAGCACCACATGCCAGCCAGCCCCGCCCCCTGGTGGGCTGAGCTCCCCCCACACACACAAATAAATAAAATAAAATAAATTTTTTTTTAACATTTATTTATTTATTTGTGTGTGTGTGTGTGTGGCCAGCTCAGCCCACCAGGGGGCGGGGCTGGCTGGCATGTGGTGCTGGGGGATTGAACCGCGGTCCCTGTGCATTGCCAAGCTTGTTTCAAGTAGGTGCTTTAGACCACTGAGCCATCTCTCTAGCCCCAATAAAATAAATTTTAAAAAAATAGTTTTATAATACAATATGAATCAAATAAAACACATCTGTAACCTGTTAGTTTGTGACCCGTTGGAGCCAAAATCCAGTTGGAAATGACTGGAGTCATTTCCAGATCATGAAGGGTTAATCATCTCTCTATCGTAATTTGACAATACTGTGGGCCACAGCTAAGAACTTCCTGCAGGGCCAGCCTGGCGATGCTTGTCACCTAAAGACAGATGTGTTTCCTCGTCCCAGACATCAGACCTGCTTAATAGAAGTCTTTATATGAGTTGAGTGTACAGAATGCTTGCAAGCCATCGAACTGTACTCTTTTTGCACCTGATTTGAACTTCATTTCTTAACAGCATTGTTGTCTTCACAATTTTTTTTTTCAGAATTTGTTGTCATCCATAATGGGATCATCACAAATTACAAAGATCTGAGGAAATTTCTGGTACGATATCCCTGGGGGAGTATCTAAATCAAGGGGTATTGATCTTCCCCCAGAAACCTTCCAAACCAGATGCAGGAACTAAGTAAGACTCACTCTCCACCATGACACACACTGAGCATAAACCTCAGCCCCCAGTGAGCCCCCAAGCTCAGATCTCATTTAGGAAGATACCAGGGCATTAGCATTTATCTCGAGAGCGATTGCAGAGTCATAGACTCAGCCTAACACAGATTTGGTTTCGGTGAAGTGGCTGCAGGATTCGTCTGCCAACTGGGATGTGGGGTGGGAAGCCAGAGGGTGAGTGTCCCCCACATGAAAAGGTTGTGTAGTGTTGGATGGGATGTGGTAGGTTTGACTCAACAGATTTTATCACTTTGACTGTGGTTATTTTGCAATATCCAGATTAATGGGAAGGACAAGCTTCCGAAGAGGGATGATCTCAGGGTACTGAGATGACTCAGACATTGGCTGTGTGATTCTGGCGAATGCTTTCTGTCCCTTCCCACTCTTGCTTGTTCTCGCCTTGAGTCAAACCCTGAGGGACTAGAAGGGCTTGGCCAGGCCAGTGTTGTGCAATGACCCTTATTTGTCCCCTGTGTCTAACCTCATATTCCAGGAAAGCAAAGGCTACGAGTTTGAGTCAGAAACAGACACAGAGGCCATTGCCAAGCTGATTAAATACGTGTTTGACAATAGGGAAACTGAGGATATTACATTTTCAACTCTGGTTGAGAGAGTCATTCAGCAACTGGTGAGTTACAGGTCCCATCTTTCTAAATCATTCTTTTATTTTTCCTAAGCGTATATCAGGCAGATCTGCACAAAGTACTACTCATGAAGGCACTGAGGGTGAAAGATGCCCCATCCAAAACGCCTGCACTGGGGGGCTGCGTCCCATGGAGTGAAGAGTTCTGTGGTGTGGGCAGTAACAGCCAGTAGAAAGTGGCTTGCAGGGAGATAGGGAGGGAGGTTGAACTGTTTGATTATGAAGACTGCAAAGATACGTTTCAGGGACAGGAGAGGGTTGCGCCCCAAGGAGGACTGTGTTTTGTGAGTGTGTGTAGCAGATAGCAGAGCGCATCTCTATGCTGAAGGGAATGACGGGAGAGAGCCCGAGAAGCTGCAGATGTCCTACAGGGCTAGACCCAAGGAGCAAATTCCCCCACACCCAGGAGGTTGACCAAGAGGAGTCCCCACCTCCGAAGAAAGTTTAGGCTGTATGCATGGCCCAGAAGGTCCCAAACATGGGTGTTGCTGCTGGGATCCCTGTGGGTCTGGACAGACACTTGGGTTCATGCGGCTCTCATGAAATCCATGCGTTCTGGTTTCTGGCACTGCAGTGTGGCACTGTTTTGCCTTCTGTCCTGCCCTTACCCTGCGCAAGCTGTGCCTTCATTCAGTTCCCCGGGTGACCCCAAGACTGCTGGCCAGGAAGATGTGCCAGGAGACTGCCTGGGCAGCAGGCTGCGGCAGCTGCTCTGGGCAGGACAAGCGGCCCTTCACCCTCTCTCCTGTGCTTCCAGGAAGGTGCATTTGCGTTAGTTTTCAAGAGCATCCACTACCCAGGAGAAGCTGTAGCCACGAGGTGAGGCAAACTCATTGATGTCTTCATCATGAAGGAAAAAGGTGAAATCACCTGACCTGCAGTGGGAGGAGGGTGGGGCCTCTGACTGGAACTAAAGCACAACTGTGGCTCAGTCCACCGACCGCACCCTGCTGTCTATCACCAGAGACGCGATAGCCACTTATTTGTTAAAAAGGGGAAATAAGAAAGTTGGATTTTTGTGTAAGATTTCCAGTATTTTAGCATTTGACAACAAATTCACATTAAAGATGAAACTGGACAGTAGTGCCAGACCCAGGTTTTGTGGAGCTTGAAGCTTAGCCAATTTTGGAAATGTCCCTTTATGTAACAGCAGGCAAAATTATGAACATGGAACTATAGACCAATGAGCACATAGATTTGGATTCAGTACTAGAAAGTCCTTGAAGGTCTCATCACCTCCATGTCAGGGGCACCCTAAGAATTGGCCCATGTGTCCCTCTGTCATAGCCCCCGCCATGGTGCCCAGCACTGCTTGGGTTCACAAAGCAAACTGCCATCCTGAAGTGTTACATTCAGATGGTCTGATCATCCATGCATGCATCCATCCACCCATCCAATACATGCTAAGCACTTAGTGCCGGCTGGCTCCCTCACACCTGCTGGCGTCTGACTTGGTCTCTGCTCTTAAGACTGGACAGACAAGGGCTGAGGGTTCTGATGATCTATGAAAAAGGTGTGTATGGGTCCAGGCACTAGGAGCCCAAGGACAAGCAGATGTCATCCTAGGAGGCAGAACAGCTTACCAGATGCGGGAGGCCAGGGACAGCGATCGCACTTCTGCCTGTCGGTGTGGCCTGGGAGGCAGCGGGGAAGAGGGCTCTCCAATGGGACTTCCAGTCTCAGTGTTCTGATACCTGCTGTGGGCAGGCGTGGAGGACAGCAGTAAGCACACTGGGGTGGAGGTTGCCCCTGCAGCTTACAGGCTGGTGGGGTACACGCACGTGGGCAGAGGCCCAGCTCCACCACACTGCGTTGTGGTGGGCTACAGCTTCATTCTGAAGCCCAAGGAAGCTGTGGAGAGTGTCCCTGTGGTCTTAGGAGGCCGGGGCAGAGGGACAGGCTAACCTAAGAAGACTCGTACACTGTCTATGTAGGAAGTGATGCAAATTTGTTGTGATTTTATTTTTGCTATGACTGGAACTAATTTAACATAGAATTTAAGTTCACTTAAATTTGATTTAAAGTTCACTTTTAATAAAAAATGATAAAATACCTGTTGGCTGCTGTTAAGTTTAGAGGGCCCTTTCAGACATGGTAACATCTGCCATTACCATTTAAAGTGACTGCAGAGGAAGGCAGAATACTGAAGCCACAAAACCCTGTTCCTAAATTGCCTGTAACTGTGGGTTCCGGACCTCAGGACAGTCTTTCGGATACTTGGGAGAATTATTTGTCTCCAAGTCTTGAGAAAGCATAAAGTTCAATCTGCACCAAGAAGATTGGGGGTACCCTATACCAGGAAAGTTAGGTAGCTGTGTGCTTCCTTGCTGGCACTGTCAGGAAGGCAGTTTGGGCCGGTTCCCTCTGGACCCAGAGCTCTGTCTCTGATCTGCGTTAGACACAATAAGACTTCCCAAAATATTCAAGGTGCTCTGGGCAGGCTATCAGTGCTCCAAACTTTTCTATCACACGTTGAGAGGTCAGTAGAAGGGTCCACACAGATCATTGCTGCTGAAAACCAAGGCTTCTTATAAACAAACACTAAGGACTTGCCCTGAGTCAAGTTAGCAGGCCAGATCCACATATGCAGGCTGGATTCAGGTTAATGAACAAGTTATTCATTAGTGCATTGATTTACGTTTGTAGGTCATTGCCTGAGGTACCTATTATGCTAAATTAGTGTGCTTGCTATAGCTCTCATACTGGCCAGTGTGTGCCTGCTCTGAGCCTTAGGACACCTTCCTGCAGTCAGGCTGTTGCCCTCTGGGACTTACACACAGTTCTCTGCTCTGGGGCTTAGTACCAGGGCATTCTCCACATAGCTCATGGTGCGTTCCTCTCCTTCCAGGCGAGGCAGCCCACTGCTCATCGGAGTGCGGAGCAAATACAAACTCTCCACAGAGCAGATCCCCATCTTGTACAGAACGTGTAAGTGTCCCCCGGAAGACCTGCAGTGAAGACCAGTGTGTAGGACACTCAGCTGCCTCTGTTTCAGGCAAGCATGCGGCCTTGCTCTGACTGGCACTCAGTTGGCATGGACCCCAGATCGAAAAGATTTTTATGCAAACTCGGTTACATTTTATAAAAAGCTTTTCATTGTGGATATTTTCAAACATACACAGAAATAGAGTGGCACGAGGCTCGGCATCATGGCCACGCAGCCTGACCCGAGCTTCGTGGGGTTTGCTTGCACTGCTCCCCTCCTAGCCACTTGAGTGCTCTTGCAGGGCACTGCGCTGCTTGGGAGCTTTTACATGACTTGGCTGACACAGCCAAAGCTAAAAATTGCAAATCTCGCCCACACGTATTCAAAGGAGAACAGGGTTCCTCACCCCATTATGCAAACGAAGTAGTCTCCTGGGGTTTGCAATCAATTCCTTTATTTGCTAGGCAATATTGAGAATGTGAAGAATATCTGTAAAACGAGGATGAAGAGGCTGGACAGCTCCACCTGCCTGCATGCAGTGGGCGACAAAGCCGTGGAATTCTTCTTTGCTTCAGATGCAAGGTAAGCCGGGGAGATAGCTCAGTAGAATAAGCGCCTGCCTGGCAAATGCAAGGTCCTGAGTTCAATCCCTGGTACCACAAAAAAAAAAAAAAGTTTAGGGGGCCGGGGGGATGGCTCAGTGGAATAAGTTCCTCCCTGGCAAGTGCAAGGGCCCTAGTTCTAATCCCCGGTTCCGCAAAAAAAAAAAAAAAAAAAAAAATCAAAGAGAAGTTATTTTAGGGCTGAGGAGATGGCTCAGTGGAATAATTGCTTCCCTGGCAAGCACAAGGGCCTGAGTTCAACCCCCAGTTCTGCAAAAACACCCACCAGATGCAAGGTAATGGAAGACCTCTTCACCTTTCTTTCCTGGGATTGTGCAGCCAGCGAATGCCTGTCTCCACACCCCGCCTGGAGGGTGCTCCACCACGGAGCTGCGTTCCTGGCCAGCCACCTCTTACCTGCTTCCCCATTTGAGCGGTTTTCTAGACCTCAGCAAGGGCTGAGGCCAAGGCAAGTCTCAGCCCTCAGCGGCCCCCCTCGGGAGCCCTCGTGGCCTGTGTTTCTGTCGTGGGCTACTCTAGTGACCACAGCCCAGATCCACTGGCCCACTATTTGGGGTCTCTGCATGGAGTGACTGAATGAGCTGTCAACATTTTGAAGTTGGGAGATTTCACATAAAACCTGGATTTCTAGCATTTTTGAAAGAAAAACATCTGAATTCCTGGGAGTGTGCTCCCTACTCCCGCTTTCTGGAAGGGCTCCACATCCTCTCTTTATATAGGGCACAGCCTCAGTCCCCATTTTGCCTGGTGTCAGACCTCTACGAAGGCAGGCCAGAGAGTGAGGGCCTGCGTTGGTTCTGAAGCTCACACTCGCATCAGCTCACCAGAGAATAAGTTTCGAAACATGAGAACTCTTGCCTCACATCTATTTTAACACATAAGTTACTCACACACACACACACACACACACACACACCACACACACACACTGGTGCGGAAGATGAAGGGAATGGGGAGGAAAGAGGAAGGATAGGTGAGGAAAGGGGAGAAAGAAAACACTTTCTTGTGACAAATGAAATGCTGCTATAAACATCAGCATTATCTCTTTCATCTGAGTGTTTCTTTCCATTCTGTACGACTTTTGACTCTCCGCAGCCACCGTCTGACCTGCAGGAGGGCCTTGCTCTGAGCAGGGAGGACTCCAGGCCTGCCGGCTCTCCTGGGAAGCAGGGAGAGTCAGGAAACCAGAGCCAGGGCTGCCAGCCTTGTTCCAAGACTTGTCCCAGACTGCGTCATCCTCAGCCCTGAGAGCTAGGGCAGCCCTTGCCTGTCTGTGCCCCCTAATGCATTTCAGTGAGAGGCTAATGCTATTTTAATGATTCTAAGACTCACATTTTACACACATTTATTTTTATATCAGTGGCATCTTAAAACTATAATTTGCTGACATTTTTATTTCTTAGAAGCATATAAAATAATTATGATCACTGGTGCCTAAATTATAATAAAAGAAATATGATACTAAAAAAACCCCAAATGTTAAATCTTTCTAAAATTAAAAAAGGGGCCGTGACTCATCCTCATGTCTGATACTGACAAAAGGATCTACAAAAGGCAGTACAGGGCTACAGGATAAATCCTGAGAGTACTTGGCTGAACTTATCAGATACAAAAGTTACATTTCTGGGTATATAGGTCTTGCTATATCTTGGTCTTAACCATCCAGCAGAAAAGTATAAAAACAAGGTATATAAAGTAAATCCATGTTAATACAATGAGCTGTAAAAGGCTCAAGTCAATAACTTCTGAGGATAACCCACTAATATTATAGACTGCTAGACAGTGTTAGATTGTTGAATTCAAACACCTATAGTATTTAGATGCCAATAGAATATTCACCTCTGACAGGACAAAAAAAAATTTAAAAAAAAAGATGAATGCCTGAAAGAAGATGAGATGATTTTGAGCCGGCCAAATAGCTCAGTGGATTAAAGTACCTACAAGCAGGCACAGGGGCTGAGGGTTTGATCCCCAGGCCTGCCATGCCAGCCCCGCACCCAGGGCGCGCTGAGATGACAATTGAGACTGGGCATGGTGGTGCACATCTGTAATCCCAGCTCTTGGGAGGCTGTAAACAGGCGGATCACTACAAGTCTGATCTAGCAGTGAGACCCCTGAACACCCTGTAGACCCTTCCCTAAAATACCAAAAAAAAAAAAAAAAGATGAGATGATTTGTAGGCAACTTGATTATGCACTTTTGCAATCCAGTGGAAGGCAACTGGACAGTGAGTAGAGATGTGAAATCCTGACCCCAATAGTGGCCACCAGATTGTAGCTGTCTTGAGGGGACCACAGTGCTTTCTTCCTTCCTCTTCTCATCTGGAGAGGCACGGCAGGCTCTCTGCAAATGTTAGTCAAACAGAAAATGATACTGTTGGCCACAGCTGAAGAAAATGCTTTCAATAAATTTTTTAGAATAAAATTTAATAAAAATACCCAGAGTATGTGGAGAGGACCACAAAAATTTACAATGAGAAACAAGGAGAGATTTAAATACATGAAAAGACGCTACCTTCACATTTCTAGCTTCTGTAGAAAAGCTAGTGGCATTAAAGTTTTGAGCATTGAATTTTAAAATTTAATAAATAAGGACTTTAAAGAAAACTGGGTTCTCCCAATGTATATATTCACTGTTGTAATTAAAACCCTCAAGATTCTTTCATTTATGTTTTAAATTTTTAAAAAGTGGCTCTATAATGTGGTGTACACCCAAGGAAGCCTCCCGCTTGAGTCTGTTTCCTATTGCTGTGACAAAATGCTTGCACCAAGACAGTTTATTAGAGACTAATAGAGCTCAGGGACCTGGAGGCTGGGAGTTGAAAAGCGTGGTATTGGCATCCCTTGCTGCATCAAAAGTTCCCAAAAATTATTATTTTGTGAGTTGGTAAGAACAAGCGCTCTAGGCCCAGTGGAGGATGGAGGGTCTTTGAGCTGCGCCACTCCAGCAGAGGGCGCTGCCCGGAGGACACAGAGCACACAGAGCACTCCTTCGCACCAGAGCTCCTTCCATGCTCACCCATAAGCCGTGAGCCCCGCACAGCCCAGTGGCCTCCAAAAGATGCCATCCCTTTCTAATTTTAGAAAGATCTAACATTTGGGGGGATTTTAGTATTGCATTTCTTTCTTTTCTTTTTCTTTTTGTATTTCTTTTATTGTGACTTAGGTACCACTGAGTATAAGATCACAATTATTTTATATGCAAGGAAATAAAAATTTCAGCAAATTATAATTTCAAGATGCCTCTGATAGACATAAAGATAAATGTACGTAGAATGTGTGTCTTTGAAGCACCCCACATGCTGCTAATGCATGTCTCTGGGGATTACATTGTGCACACCCAAGTTCTGGGGCAAACACCACACCAGTGCACCAGTATACCAAAAAGAACAGCATGGGTGGCCGACCAGGCATGCAGACACCCCGTGGAGCCCTCGGGGTTAGCTGGGTGCTACACAGGCTTTGCTAGGCCTGGTCCATTTAACCACAACAGACCTCATGAAGGTACCTTGATCACCTCCTGCTCCATGGAGCAGAAACCTGGGACAGCACTCAGTGGACTCCCTGTGTCAATAAAGGTGACTCAATCCCTGCGCTGAGTTACCATCTGTTCTGTAAATTAAAATAATAGTTATAGGGCTGGCCAGATAGCTCAGCAGATTAAAGTGCCTGCTTAGGCAGATGCAGGAATGGGGTTTGATCCCTGGCATGCCGTGCCAGCCTTGCCCCCAGGGCACCCTGAGCCAGCGATTAAGACTGGGCCTGGTGGTGCGTACCTGTAATCCCAGCACTTGGGAGGCTGAAAACAGGAGGATCACTATGAGTCCAACCTGTGTAGTGAGGCCCTGTAGACCCTGTACTAAAATATATTTAAAAAATGAAAATAATAGTTACATTTCAACACATAAATGCATACACAGATACAAATGCACATGGATTACGCATAGTTGATGGGCAGTGATACAGTGTAGGCAGTGTTATTTCTGAGATGTGATCTGGCCCTTTTCTACCTCTTCCTCTTTATAAACAGTAGGTGTATATTATTTAAGATATTTCCAGGGCTGGTGAGATGGCTCAGTGGTCTAAAGCACCTACTTAGAACAAGCTAAGCTAAGCAAAAGGACAGCGACCGCGGTTCAATCCCCAGCACCACATGCCAGCCAGCCTGCCCCCTGGTGGGCTGAGCTGGCCACACACACACACACACACACACACACACACACACACACACAAAAAAAAAATAAAATAAATAAATTTAAAAAAAAAAAAAGATATTTCCAGTGAAGTAGCTTTCTATCCTTTATCTTTTCCCCTAGAACTTGAGTGGAGATAACTTTTAGAACAATTATCTCTGCACATTTCTAAAAGGCAAGTGGGTGTGGCCCATAGTGGCACAAAGGCTCCCCACCCTATGCCCCTTCCTCAAGTACTGCTGTCATGATTTTGTACCACTTGTGCTGCTTTTTTGGCAGGGAGCAGTGCAGCCCACCATGAGGGTGGGGCTGGCACAGCATGTGGTGCTGGGGATCAAACCGTGGTCCCCTGCACCTGCCTAAGCTTGCCTATGCAAACGCTTTAGACCACTGAGCTATCTCACCAGCCCCACTCACTACTTTTTATTTATCCCCTTTTTTTTGTACCAGGGATTGAATTCAGGACCTTGTGCTTGCCAGGCAGGCGCTTATGCCGCTGAGCTATCTCCCTGGCCCCATTTACCCACTTTTGCAACTTATTTTGAAAACAGCCTAATCTGAAGGTGTAATGGCTATGTCTGGATGTCCCCCCAAGGCCTCCTGTGCTCAGAGGTGGGGCTTTGCAAAGGTGGCTGGTTCTAGTGTGTGGTGCTGGCGTTGAGGCAGGAGCAGTGCTAGGATAGGGTGCTAAGAGTTAGGGTGAGAGCACTGTGTCCTGAGGGTGGGTGGCCTGGGCCTGACAGAAGGGGCAGAAGAGACGTGGTGCTTCTTGTCGCTTGCCTTTGCTGGCTTCTGCCTGCTGGGAGCTCTTCCTCCTTTGTGAAGCCATCCTGCCGTAGAGCCAGCTGATTATGGACTGAACCCCTTTACAGACTGTCAGCTAAATAAAGCTTTATTCCTTTAACTTTGGGTGTCAGATATTTTGCCTCAGCAATGAGAAAAAGCAACTAAGAAGGGGAAAATCTTTATTACTTTCCATAGTGTAAAGTTATAAAAATTAACACAATGACCTCACATTTCAGTGAGGGGCATATCATGTTGATAGGGCTTAGGCCCCGCTTTTTATCTTGCCCTGTCTTTTCTGTCTTAAACTGGGTCATTCAGGCTTCCCACTCTCTGGATTTTTCTGAATGCACAGTTTTATTTAACAGGATCCCCTGCCCATTGTTTCCTGTCCATGAGTTTACATGTATCTACAAGTTTGGTCTTACTCAAGTTTAAATTAGGTTTGAATCTTATTAGGCACAATTCCATAGGTGGTGGGGCCTTCTGCCAGAAGGCATCTAATGTCTCATTCTCTTTCCATACTAAGACCAGTCAGGTAGGGTACTCCCAGCCTTACCCATCCCTTACAAAACTCTCTCAGCATTTTACCCTCCGTTTCCACAGCCAGGGGCAATCTTGGAGTGCAACTGTTAATAATTAGGTGCTCCTAAAATGATAATTCTAGCCCTGTCATTCCTTTTTTTACTGGCTATATTATTTCTATAAAAAGAAACCTGTCTAAATAACTATCAAGTTAATCTAAAGGTCAGACTTCTGGGGCTGGGGAGATGGCTCAGTGGAATAAGTGCTTCCCTAGCAAGTGCAAGGGTCTGAGTTCAATCCCCAGTTGCAAAAAAAAAAAGTAAAAACTGCTTTAAAAAGCAAAATAAATGCTTTCTTTTTTCCCTTTAAAATTCTGAATGGGGGGCTGGTGAGATGGCTCAGTGGTCTAAAGCACCTACTTGACAGAACAAGCTAAGCTAAGCAAAACACAGGGACCACGGTTCAATCCCCCAGCACCACATGTCAGCCAGCCCCACCCCCTGGTGGGCTGAGCTGGCCACACACACACTAAATAAATAAATAAATATTTAAAAAAAAAAAAAATCTGAATGGTATGTTGGTTCCCAAGCATTCTCCAAGGTGACATATTTTGGTTGTGGACTTGAAGAAAATTTGATGTAAAAAGATATACAGGACATTACTAAATAATTTTGATCTTATTAGACATTTGATGACATCAAGGAATAACAATGAATTCTAGGAGGTTAAAAAAATTCCTTGACTTTTACAGATATAAGATGAAATGTCTATAGAAGAAATTCATACTATTTCTCTACATTCTTTGAATGAGTTAAGGTTAAGGTGACCCTGACAGCGTCAGAATAACTCTGAGGAGAAAGGGAGTGTGGACAGGAGGGGAAGGCTCACTGTAAATTGATCTGTTCAGTGTGATGTCACTGCCACTCTGAAATGCCACTAATGCTGACCCAACTCTTGGGAAACAGTACATGATTTGTAACTGTTCAGAGCAGGGTGAGTAAGATGCCTGTGCTTCTGTCCCTTCAGTGCCATCATAGAACACACCAACAGGGTCATCTTCTTGGAGGATGATGACATCGCTGCAGTGGCTGATGGGAAACTCTCCATTCACCGAGTCAAACGCTCAGCTAGTGATGACCCGTCTCGAGCCATCCAGACCTTGCAAATGGAATTGCAGCAAATCATGAAAGGCAGGTGTCTCTGAGAGTATGGGCAAGTCTTGGGAGCAGATGCTCTGTGGGTTGAGCACCTAACACTGTCCCTTCCCACCCATCACGGCCACTGGGCAGAGCGGCAGGTGGCTCATGACTTGCATAATTGAGGAGCTGTGGAGATCCCGACCTGTACTTCCAAAGGGGTCTTCTCGATCCCTCATCTGGCTCCCTGGGATGCTTTTCTAACCCCAGCCATGCCTTCTTGTCTGAGGGGAAGGTCTGCAGTAATGGGTACGGACCATGGACCACTTCCCTTCGAGCAGTGTGCCCCATCCCTTCTCCCACAGCCCCTCCCTGCATGAGATAGCCTCAGTCAGAAGAGTTTTAAGAACAGGGACCAAACCCTGTCATCATCCCAAAGCTTACAGCCACCTAACGGCTCCCCTATCCTCAGAACAGAACCCAGACTCCCTGCTTGCAGCACACAGCCAGGCCCACCCAGTGCGCCTCGCCACGCCTTGCCCACCAGGCCAGCAGTCCTTGCAGTTACTGTTCTACTCATGGAGCAGCGTGGCCTCTGGATCACCGGAGCTCTCCTGAAGCGAGCCCTCAGAGCACTATCTCTGATCCTCCAAGCACCAAGGCCCCTGTGACCTCTGCCAACAAGGACTTCTTCCCTCACTTCCTTGCCACATACACCTTTGTCCCAGGCAGCAGACGAGAGAGAAAGTGCCCTCCGGGTCTCCAGAACCCTCCGCATCACCCATGTGATGCTTCAGACAGAGTTAAACCCTGCAGGCAGACTGTCTCCTTAATGACCATCAAGGCCTGTTCAGACTATAGCCCAGAAGTGCATGGGTGGCTGGAGGAAGTCTGTACAGCAGAAGCAAGCAGGGTACTTAACTAAGTGGACAATGCCAGGGCTAGGAGTGTGTCTCGATGGCCGAGCACAGGCTCGCCTGTCTAAGGCTCTGAGTTCAACCACAAGCAAGTGGTGGGGAGGATTCTGGCCTTGTAAAGGGAGCATAGACTACACAACCAGGCCATGTTTGTTCCTTGCAGCCTCATGTAAGTCCTTCCTTCTTTGAGCTGCAGGGCCTCAGGTGTAGTTGGAGATGGTCCTTGCCCCTAATTGCTTCCTTCTGAATTGTCCCAAGGAGCATCAAGCAGAGCGTTCCCTGGGGAGGCCCTAAAATTGTGAGGCTTTATAATTGTGCCTGTCACCATTACCTTATTTTTCTTCCTGATTAAAAGCTAAGCAGTGGAAGTGAAACTAGATGAAAGCTAACACTCCTCACTGATTTTGTTTGACCAGGTAACTTCAGTGCATTTATGCAGAAGGAGATCTTTGAACAGCCAGAATCCATCTTCAATACCATGAGAGGACGGGTGAACTTTGAGACTAACACAGGTAATCCTGAAACTCATCAAGAGCCACCGCTGCGCCCTGCACAGTGAGCCCAGCCACTGCGTAGGGTTGGTCTTGACACCCACCTTGTGTCCTGCAGTGCTTCTGGGCGGCTTAAAGGATCACTTGAAGGAGATTCGCCGGTGCCGAAGGCTCATAGTGATCGGCTGTGGAACCAGCTACCACGCTGCTGTGGCGGTAAGTGCAGCACACCAGGATGGGCGGTGCTGGGGGAGCAACAGTCTAGGAGGAGACTCTCGTCTGGGCACTACTGTGCACTGGGCGCTGAATGCAGCAAGGGCTCCCCATGGTCATGAGCCAGCCCAGCAGGGGCCCTGAGACCCTTTCTTCTGCAAGCCCCCGGCCTGGCTAACAAGGCACTGCTGCATCCACCAGGAGCTTTTGGGGTGCTGGGACCCATACGATGACCCTGCACCCCTCTTCGGGTCCTTACTCTCACTCAAAGAATGAAGTTGGGCTCTCAGCAGGGGGATCATGACTGATATGGTACAAAGCAAAAGGTTACTGAAAGGTGGCAAATGCAGAAGAAAAGCCATCTTAACAGCAGAGCAGACGCAAGACGGGGCAGCCCACTCGGATGCCCCGTGGGCTTGGAAGGTGTGTCATACTGGGTAAGCTGGTTTCTAAGAATGACTGCTTCACCGATAGGTGCAGTCAGGGTCTTGGCCTCTGTTCTGGGAGAGGGACAAGGTCATTTCTTAGGCAGTGAAAGTGAGTTGCACTTTCCCAAGGAGTCCATCTCTCAAGCATGCAATAGGGTTCACTTCTCAGACACATAGTACACAGGTGAGCATGCAGTGACTTTACGGGGTCAGCCATCTCGGTCTTGCCCAGGGTTTTCTGCCTCCGCCCTTCTCGTCTGCCCTACAGCACCATGTTACAAATTGTCCCCGGAAGCTCCGCTGTCCTGTGTCCTTGTGGTGCCCAAGACTGACTTTAGTCTCCACCCTTTGTCTTCAGACTCGACAAGTGCTGGAGGAGTTGACCGAGCTCCCTGTGATGGTGGAGCTTGCCAGTGACTTTCTGGACAGGAACACGCCCGTGTTCAGGGATGATGTTTGCTTTTTCATCAGCCAGTCTGGTAAGGGGTCCATCCAGGCAGCATGGCCAGATTTGCACCAGCTCTTACTTGCACCATTTCCTGCTCTTTTCTCTCTGCACCCTGCCACGGGCTGCGTCCCTGCTTTGTCCAGTTAATCCTCTGGCTCCTCTGCGTGCCTCACATGCCCTCATGCAGCAGGGCGTTCACTCCTTAAAAGCATGGGTTCCTGTCACTGTTGTGTGGAGAAGGGTGTGACAGAGTGGAATCTGGCTGAAAATCCAGGTCCATTTTTTTGTTGTTCCCTTGCCTATAGCTTCTCCCTGCTCCTGACATCCCAAGTCACTTGAAGGACCATAAGCATGTGCTGGGTTTTAGTGGACAAAAAAAAAAAAAAAGCCTCATACAAAATTCTACTTGATTGAGAGTCACATTGAAGACTCAGCATAGGCCCTGTGCCCAGCCGAACCGCTCCCCTTCGGCGGGATCCACAGGCCCAGCAGAGGCGCAGCCTCACTGCTTTGGTTGGGCCTCCCTCAGGAGGAGGTGCCATGCTGACACTGCCTCCTTGCGGAGCTTTGTTCTCACTTGGTTGAGCACTGGCTCTGAGAGGTGATCTGTAACCATATGCTTTGGAGTGCTTTTGAGCTTTACAAGGACTTTTGAAATGTTTTATTTATAAAGAATTCCAAATTTTATAAAAGTAGAGAAATTCATTCATCTAGTCCCTGCGATTATCAATTCAGCTAATCTGTACCAGCCATTGCTCCTATTAACCTTGTCCTTGAAGACCATTCCAGGCACCATCTCTGTCTTCCATGCATACTCAGAATATATGATAGAAGGTAAAGAGGTGAGCACAGGCTATTCGCATATCTGCAAATTAGGCAGTTATGCTCCTATGTGTAGAGGGGCTTTTAATACTGCTTCTCTTTTTCATTTTTAATACCGTTCCTGTTTTGATGACAAGCTGAGTGAAGCTAATGTAGACCCAGCCACCATTTGGCCAAATTGACAGGAGCGTTAGTAGCAGACCAGAGCTGGAGTGCAGTGTGGCCCGCAAGCCTGCAGCCCTAGCACTGTGGGAGGCAGAAGCAGAAGTGTCACAAGTTCTAGGAGCCTAGGCACTTTAGCCGTTGTCTCCAAGGGAAGCAGGCAGGGTGTGGGCCTTAGGGGCAATGCCAGTATAGGAAAAAAAAAAAAAAAAGTGGATTTTATATAAAAATAATGCAGTGTCAGTTCCCAACTCTTTATACAGATAAAAACTTATCAAGTGACTTCAATGCCAGCCTCAACTACATAGCTAGACCCTGTCTCAAGAACCAGAAATAAACCAGGAGGGGGCTATGGGGTTGACAAAGGTAGGGCCTTGGCCTTCCTGCTTCCTAGTGTTCTCAAGGAAGTGGAGGTGTGGGGCCCCAACCTGAGCTGCAGAAAAGCTAGGGAAAGCACTGCTGGGACTGCTGCTGCATAGACAGCAGTCTCCAGAGACCCTGTGGGTTCTAGTGCTTTAGATTCCGTGGTCTGGCTCCTATTTACTTGGGCTGAATTCTTTAAGACTGCAACACGGAGTTTTTGAGAAACACTGTGCTGGACACTCTGGGTTTTACCTGCTGAATGTGAGGGACCTCAGCGTGCCCTGACCTCTACAGCTTTGGGGGTGGGAGCTCCTGGCTGCAGGGCCTGACGGAAGCAGCGGTGTCGTGTCGGCCTGCATTCTTGAGCCGAGGTGGGATGGGACAGGTGGGCAGAGGAGGGACAGGACAGAGCCAGGGTTGTTCAGGGGACGTGCTTGCCGCACAGCTGCGAGGTCAGAACTCTTAAGAAAGCAAGCCGGAGTGCCTGTGGTCTCGCTGAGGGCGGGCGCAAGGTGCGGATGCGTGTTCGAGGGCCAGTCACACACTGACGCCCGTCTCCAGGCGAGACCGCGGACACACTCCTCGCGCTGCGCTACTGCAAGGACCGCCGCGCGCTCACCGTGGGCATCACCAACACCGTGGGCAGCTCCATCTCGCGCGAGACCGACTGCGGAGTCCACATCAACGCGGGCCCGGAGATCGGCGTGGCCAGCACCAAGGTAGCAGCCGGTTCCGGTTCCGGGCTGAGTGGCCCCGCGCCCCTCCCTGCTCCTCCCGCCCGGGCCCCTGGTCCCCGCTCCCCTGGTCCCCGCTCCCCTGGGTCCCGCTCCCCTGGGTCCCCGCTCCCCTGGTCCCCGCTCCCCTGGGTCCCCGCTCCCCTGGTCCCCGCTCGCTCCCCTGGGTCCCCGCTTCTCCCGCCCGGGCCCCTGGTCCCCGCTCCCCTGGGTCCCCGCTCCCCTGGGTCCCCGCTCCCCTGGGTCCCCGCTCCCCTGGTCCCCGCTCCCCTGGGTCCCCGCTCCCCTGGG